GCCACCAGGTCCGGGACATGAACTGTGGTCGACTACGTGGGAGTCCAGCGACATAGCCATTACGCTAACTGCTGGTTCCCCAAATTGTGACCTTAATAAACCTTTATTTCTGTATAAATTGCCCAGTCTCAGACATTGCTATTAGAGATGCCATTGCAAACTAAGACAATGGCCTTGTTATCCTGTGACCCCCCCAAATGCACCTAATAGTTCTAATAGCTTTTTGTATATTCTTTAGGATTTACTACATACATGATCATCCTATCTATAAAAAGTACTTTATAGTATGAGTCACTCATCTTCATGCTTTTAAAATATTGTAAAAATCAAAGGTCTGCTTTTTCTCTTAGCTCTTTTTGTTTGTTTTTGTTTTTAGAGAGAAATTTTTGCAATACAGCATGTGTGCTCGCCAGAGAGACAGAAAGCAATCCCCTCTTCTCCATTCTCCTCTCGGGATTTTGGACATACACACACATGTGCCTGGTGTGAATTTTAAGCCACCAGGTCCAGGACTTAAACCATGGTTGACTACATGGGAGTCCAGTGACATAACCATTACACCATCTGTTGGTCCCTTAGCTCATTTTTTAGGTCCTGAGTTCTGCTTGGTTCCTATAAGCTACATTGTTTTACTAATTCCATGGCTTTTTTTTTTTTTTCTGTGGGGGGGGGGAGGTTTTTGCTGTTGGTGCTTGCCAGAAAAACAGAGAGAGGCAGAGAGACAGAACGCAAGAAATCACTCCCCAAGGGGAATGGCCACACCACAGTCCCTTCTCCTCAATTCTCCTCTTGGGATCTGGGGCATGCATGCACATGTGCCTAGCTGCCGGGTCCGGGACTCAAACCATGATCGACTGCATGGGAGTCCAATGACATAGCCATTATGCTAACTGCTGGTACCATTCCGTGGCATTTTAAAATCTAAGACACCTGAGAGTTAATGTGACAATAGGTTAATGCTTCTCAAGTATGACACTCAGCACATTAAATCATGATTTTGTTGTTGCTGTTTCATGTCTTCCACCTGACCAGTATCTCCATACGTGAATCATCTTTTGCTTTGAATGAAGAAGTGATATAATCAAGAGATGGGTGTAAATGCCAGATGTAGTGTGTGTGGAGGAGAGGGGCCTAGGGAAGGTCATTTGGAGGAGGGATACAGAGGCAGAGGCAGAGCATTGACAGGACAGGAAGGTATGGTGTTATCTGTTGAAGATATTTTGATCAACTGGACTGGAGAGAAATGTTCGCATATTGAAATGTTCACTTTGTAAGCTAAACAATGTGACTGAGTGTATATAAAAATAATAATAATAAAAAAATACCTATTTCAAAAAAAAAAAAAGAAGTGATATAATTAAGACCTATTTAGAATGGCTTTAGCTATATCCCAAAGGAGTTGGTAAGAAGCTGGTTTTCTTTGGCCCCAACAACTTCATTCATATTGTATCATCTATTGGCATGATCCTCTGACTAGCTTTTCTATTAGTCATTAGGTGACATTCCTGAATATCATTTTCTAATCTCTTTTAAGTACCCGTTTTGACTAGAATATAGTTATAACCTATTAAAGAACATTGGATTCATTGAAACTTGGCAATTTTTTCCCATATGTAAGTAATGCTCGGTCCTGTTTTCTTTGTTATTCATCTGAATGAATACCTTAGCTAGGCAATACTGGACAGTGATTTACATGTTGGAACCAGTAGCTGTTTTTTGACACGGTTCTAAAGTGTTGGTGTTGTTGAACCAGCAACATGGGATCTCTGCTTTCACTGCTGCCAGAGGGTTTAGAACAGGCATGGGAACAGAGGGTTCTTCCAGCACTTAGCTTAATTCCACCTGGTTCATAGCCAGTTTTTAAAATTAACCCCGGCTAAAGCTGAGAAGGCTTTTACAAGGACCTTTAGCGGGATTATCCCATAAGGCCACCAGATGGATCTGTTCTCCCATGAAAGAAGGGGATTTCTGCCATGAGATGGCTGTCCTCCTTGTAACCAGTGTATGGGCTCCTCCTGAGCTCATGAGGTCCCAGTCACGTCATATTCCAAAGCCTGAACCTTCATTGCTTACAGCAGGAAGTCCAATTTTTTATTTAGGGTCCTCTCACCCATATGTTTCTAAAAATCCTCAGAGGTCCTTACATATGTCCAAGTACCAGTCCCGATTGTCACTTGTTGCTACTGACACTGGGCTATCATTTCATATCTTTGGACCAAATGGGTTAGTGGAGGTGGGTCTCTACCCTCTTAAGTGTTGCAGTCACCTTCATGAAAGAAGCAAATGAGCATAAGTAAGAAAGAGAATGCCTCCCATTGGCGTTTCTTCCTCTCAGGGATAGTGGTGTCCCAAGTCAAGGTTATTTGAGCCTTAGATTGTTGTAGCAGTGAATGCTGAGTGAATCTTATTAGTTAGGTTATTAGTTATTAGTTCTTTCAGGAATTATCAGGCTGGGACTTGGAGGAAGCAGAAAAGGTTCATTCTTGACAAAAAAAATAAAATACACAAAATACTAATGTGTAAATATCCCTAATGCAGCATTTTTACGAGCATATTTTAAAATGACTTTCTAGTATACTATTGAAAGGTAATATTTCAACTTACTTATGTATTATTCATTTATAGGCCATTTGGATTATTTCTTGGTTCTTGTTATATTAGATACAATGTTTCATTGAGTATCATTAGACATTAAGGGTTTCCATATTTAAAATGATTTCCATGGGGAGGGGGGCAGCCAGTGACATGGTGGTTAAGGTGGCTAGATCCTACATGGATAACTCATGTTCAAGTCCTGGACCAGTCAGATGTGTTTGTACACCAAAAGGAGGAAGAAATGGAGGAGAAGGGATTGTAGTGTGACCATGCCATGCAAGGAGCTTTCTCATTTCCGCCCTTTTCTCTCTCTTTCTCTGTCTCTCTTGGACAAGTGCACATACTATCGGGCAAAATTTTTTAAAATTATTTTGATGGGGGCTGGGCAATGGTACAACAATAAAATGAGGTACTGATCTATGAGGTTGACCCATATAAGAAGGTTCTGGGTTCACATACAGAGATCCCTGAGTATGCTAGGCAAATATATGCCCAAGATTCTGGGTTGGCTGAGGCTGGGAGTGGATTGTTGCATCAAGACCTTATTGGGATGGCCAGCAGGTGGCATAGTGATTAAGGTGTTGGACTCTCACATGACTGACCACAGTTCAAGTCTCAGAACTGGTGGCTTGAAAATTACACTGAGCATGTGTATGTACAGTCTCAAAATCCCAAGAGAAGGGAGGAGAAGCAACTGTTGCATGGCCATCTCCCTGAGGAGTGATTTCTCATTTTCCCTCTCTTTGAATCTCTCTGTCTCTTTCTTTTCCAGAGATTGCACATGCCCTATGACAAAAACCTAAAAAAAAAAAAAATCTTATTGGGGATGCTATATGTCTGTATCTCTCTCATTCATGGAAGAAATAAATAAAAACAACTTTAACAAAATAAAATACAATAATTTCCCTAGAGTGGATTCTTAGGACTAGCATGCAAGTAGAAGGGCATGTGAGTATTTTTATACTTCTTAAGAGAGATCACCTAATTAATAGAAAACTGATCCAATTAAAGAGGAAAATAACTTCCCAGTTATTAGAATATAGTTATCATTGTCCTCTGATGTACAGGAACATGAAAAATGGGACTATAGATCAGAAGGTTTAGTGAGCAAAATACTATTGGCTTATGGAGAGTTTAAATCAGGGTTTGGTGTGCAGGCCACACCAATCTCTTACTATA